ACCAGAGAAAGCCGTTTAGAGCTTGCTACCTGGCTTTGGTAAGCCGTGCGTAGTGTTGTCCTAAGCCTGGACCTTGTTTGTCTTTGGGCAGTAAAAGCGGGGTATCAAAGAAGTGAAACAGGTTGGCATTAAGCTGAATAAGACAGATATATTCCCCTTGGGTTTGTCTTCTTGCTCACAGTTTTTTTGAGTCTTGGAGGGAGAAAGAAAAGGTACATGTGGAGTAGTAGTTTGAGGGCCTTAAGAGTCTGGTGATTCTGAAACTAAACGTTGTCCTTGGGAGAAAGGTCTCACCTTCTTGGGTGCAGATTCTCTGATCCTACAGGCCAGCTATTCAGTATGCTCACAGCCCTTTTCCAAGAATCAATAAACCTCTCAAACATTCGCTGTTTCATTAGAAGATACCACCAAGAGCACAGAGGTCCCAGGGAATTGGAGACATATTTGACCTTTAAAGCAAAGCTCTCATTGTGCTTACGTACTTTCCTCCAAAAAATTAACTGGGTTTTGTATTAGCTCAAGTAGCACATTCCACCCTAGGAACTTTGTAAAAATTCAGCATACATTTGACCTGGCCTTTTCAATACATAGAAATAAATTTAGCATGTCTAGATCGTATATATAGTTTCACAAGTGTAATGTGAGTACTGGGCAGTAATTGCTACTGGCTGCTCCTCTGTGAGACAATTATCTCTCTAATTAAGATGCCTGGCAGTTAGAGTTGAGGACTAAATCTTCCTTACTCAAGTGACTTTGATTGAGAACACCACCTGGCCTTTTCAGCCTTCCTGGGTCTGTGGACCCCAGCTCTGAGTTAATATGTGTAACATGCTTAGTACTTCATAAACGTTAGCATCATCTCCCAGGAAATCACTACAGAAAATCCAGGAGGGAAGAATTGACATAAAAGCTCAGTCATAATGCAGTTGTTGAGAAAGGAAGCACTGATTGTTCTATACAGATCAAACTTGACATCAGCTTGTATCTTCAAATCTTACACATCCTGAAATTTGTATCCACAGGATTTTCTAAGACCTTTTAACTTCTCTTTTAAGTCTTGAATTTGTTGAATGCTATGAGGCCTGTTAATTTAAGGTAGGTTCATTTATTCTGTGCAGTTCAAATAAACATTAGCTATCTGCTATATATAAGTAGGTTATTACACAGCTACTATATATATACATAAGTAGGTTACAGCTTCAGTAAGGTCAGTTCAGTAGGCACCTACTTAGCCATGTTGGAAATGGAAACCTCCTAGGGTTTTTTTTTTTTTTTTTTTTTAAGAAACTTTATTTTTTAGGGTAGTTTTAGGTTCATATCAAAATTGGGGAAGATACAGAGGTATACCATATAGCCCTTGTCCCCATACATGTATAGGCTATGTATAGGCTTCTTATTATCACCATCTCACAGTGTAGAGTTACATCTGTTACAGTTATTGAACCTTCATTGACACATTATCACTTGGTCAGTAGTTTTCACTACGGTTCACTATAGGTGGTATACAGTCCATGCGTTTGGGCAAATTTATAATGACATGTATTCACCATTATAGTATCATACAGTATTTTCAGTGCCCTAGAAATCTTCCGTGCTGTATTTATTCCAATCTTCTGCCACCCCTGGCATCCATTAGACTTTTTACTGTCTCCATACTTTTGTCTTTTCCAGAATGTCATGTAGTTGGAATCATACAGTGCGTATAGGCTTTTCAGATTTCAGATGGGCTTCTTTTACTTAATAATGTGTATTTGTTTCCTCTATGTCTTTTCATGGCTTGATTGCTCATTTCTTTTTAGCCCTGAATAATATTCATTGTCTGGATGTATCACAGTTTATCCGCTCATCTTCTGAATGACATCTTGGTTGCTTTCAAGTTTTGGCAGTTGTGAATAAAGCTGCTGTAGACATACGTGTGCAGGTTTTTGTGCAAACATAAGTTTTCAACTCACTTGGTAAATATCAAGTAGCACAATTGCTGGATCAAATGGGGAGAGTATGTTTAGTAAAAAACTGCCAAAATGTCTTGCAAAGTGGCTGTGCCATTTTACATTCCCTCCAACAGTGAATGAGAGTTCCTCTTGCTCCACATCTTCATTAGCATTTAGTGTTGTCAGTGTTTTGGATTTTGGCCATTTTCAGTGTACAGTGGTTTCTCTTTGTTTAAATTTGCACTCCCTAATTACACATGATATTAAACATCTCTTCATATGCTTACTTGTCATCATTATTTTCTCTGGTGAGATGTCTGTTCAGGTCTTTGACCCATTTTCAATTGGGTTATTTTTTTCTTACTGTTGAGTATTAAGAGTTCATTGTATATTTTGGATAACAGTCCTTTATCTGATAAGTCTTTTGCAAATAATTTGTCCAAGTCTTTGGCTTTTCATCTCATTCTCTTTTACAGAGCAGAAGTTTTCATTTTAATGAAGTGCAGCTTATCAGTTATTTCTTTCATGAACCATACCTTTGGTGTTGTATCTAAAAGTCATCGCCATACCCAAGGTCATTCAGGTTTTCTCCTATTATCTTGTAGGAGTTTTATAGTTTTGCTTTTGGCATTTAGGTCTCTGATTCATTTTGAGTTAATTTTTGTAAAGGGTGTAAAATCTGTATTTAAATTCATTTTTTTT